TATAACTAATTAACTAAGATTTTAGTGAAAATATGCATTTTGTGATTTAAGTGATAAAAATTGCATTTTTATGGATTTTGATGGTGAAAACTTAATGTTTTTATAGGTCTAACGATTTAATCATCAAATGGAGTAACTTGAAAAGATAATTGGATGATTGATGATGATTTAAAATGATAAAAAGAGTATATGAAGTGCAAAAGAGGAAATGCAATCAAGAACAAAGGTAGCAAGTTTCACAACTTTGACACATTATGGTATTCCGGCTATATCTTAAGTTACAAGTATTGGATTAAGATGATTCTTAAACAATTTTGAAAATAAGAGATAGATCTACATTTGGCATGAAAATATCGAAATCCAGTTCAGTCGTTTTCATTGTCAAAATATCGAAATACAGAAATGCAACTCTGCTGTCGTAAGCCGAAATAGAGCTCTGGATAGTTGATAGTATTTTGATCATATCTCGATTCACAGAACTCCAAATTGGATGATTCTTGAGGCATTGGAAAGCTAACTCAAAGTGCTACAACTTTCATGTTTTGTACAAGAGCTAGTTCAACCTCCATCATTGAGAAAATAGTAGTTTACGTGCGTAGAACTCAATACACGACTATTCAATACACGAGAAGAAGTCGCGTATTCTCACATGATTTCTGCAACTTGCTCATCAATTTGCCTTATTTTCACACAACTTTTCTAACTCAATTTGAACTAGCAATTCTGACTGTATCTTACCAAGAAAAGGGTGGAAAGTTGGAGAAACAACTCATTTGACCTTGAATTCCTCTATAAATAGAAGTCTTTGGAGACCATTTTGATAACTTTGGAAGGCTAGAGAAACTAACAAAAAATGTAGCCTTTACTAGAATTTTCTTAGTTCATTAGTTAGAGTAGAATAGTTTAGATAGTTATGTATGTTATCCACTCTTGTATATTGGCTAGATTAGGATGAAGATGGAAATGAAGAATGAGGAGTTGAAACTCATGTGACAAAGGTTATCTTTTCTCCAACTCTTTATTTTTTGTATTGGATTCTTAAATATGATTAGTATGCAAGATTTGGATTTGTGTTTTTATATGTTTTGTTAAAGTTTATGCGTAAAGTTATGGATAAACTTTCTATATTTCGTTAGTAATGTCTACTTGGTTATTTGATAATATTATTTTGAATAAGTTATTTATCACTTTTGCTTTTCTAATCATGATTAATCAGCCATTAATTGTGATAAATTTAAGGTGTTAAGTTCGTATGAATATTGAAATTTAACACTAATTCAAGGAATTGATAAACCTAGGGAATACACTCGCGAAAGTAGAGGTGCACCTTTGTGGTTTTAGTGACTTGTTTCATGTAATTTCATAAAAAAAATGAACTTGTTGTTAGTTTCATAATCAGAAAAGTATGTATAAATTAACTATAGGTATAGTTGATACAACAGCGAAAGCAGATATCACGTATATTAGGAAATTACGCCATAACTAACCAAGATAATAGCATTCAGTTAACCGATAATTTCATTTGCAATAGTAAGGAATTTCATACCTCTAGGAGCTCTCTATTGTTATTTTTATTATTTTCATCTCATTGTTTATAGTTTAGATTCGATATCTAGTACATTCGATAGTCTAGTAGATGTCGAGTCATCTATTCTCTTTGACTAAACTTGTTTTTAAGTTATTTTGAAAGCATGTTTGGGTATTCAGGGAGAGTAGAATATATAGGGTGACAATACTTGAGAAGTGGAAGATCGGCAATGGATGGTTACTATGTACAAAGTTCCTTCAATAGAGGTAACCAAAAAATTACCGACGGTATGTCGTTTGAAAATGGTTTAAGGTGCTTAAAGGCAAAACTTGATGTTATAATGTTACAAGTTCAAATAGACACCATTATGCATGAAATTGAGCAAAGGATGAATGTCAATGCTTCAATTCTTATCATATGATTTGTGACTTGTGTGGAGGTTATTATGCTACTAATACATGTAGACAAGCACAAAATATGGATAATTATGATGAATTGGGGCAATACAATTCTTGTTTTGATCAATATGGATCTAATTGGGGTAATTCTTATGCTTATGGTTGGGATAATCGATGTGCATATAGTAACCGGTAATTTCATTTGCAAGAGTAATAAGAAATTTCATATCTCTAAGAGCTTTCTATTGTTATTTTTATTATTTTTATCTCATTATTTATAGTTTAGATTCAATATCTAGTAAATTCGATAGTCTAAATAATAAAAGAATTCGAAAAATATCGGTAATTGACAATCTTTCCTGTGGAATCGACACCTAATACCCTTATACTCAATAAACGACTCGTATACTTACGAAAAATCGCTTGTGAGGTATTTAGAATTTATAAATGTAAAACTTGATTGTAAAATGATTTTAATTGTTATATGTATACCCACACTCGTCAGTGGGAGGAAGAAAAATAGGTGGTAAGATTTGTTTTTATTTTTACTTTTGTAAGTTGTATTTGAGATTGCATGTTTTTGAAATTATTTTTTGAGTTTGTTACTATGAACTCCACAAACAAAAATAGTTTAAAGGAAAAACAACTAATCCAAATAGATTCTTAATTTTTTTAAAAAAAGTGTAGGTTTTAGGATTGCAAACAAATTGAGTTGAGTTGAAATTTGGGCTAATCAAACTGAATCTTGACACACCACCACCGCCACCGCCACCACCTCCCCCATCCTTTCCCTTCCATGTCTACCATCACCGCTACCACCAACGCCACCCCTCCCCTCTCCCCATTCTCTCTTCTCTATTTTCCTTCCCCTCATTCTTCCTCTCCTTCCTCTCTTTCTCATCCCTTCTCCCTCTTCCTTTTCCTCTCTCCTCTCATTCCCTCCTCTCCCTCACAACCTGTTCTTTTTCTTCCCCTAATCTCGTCGTAGCTAGACCCAGGAGACGAGGGGGTTGTGGAAGAGGAAAGATGAGAAAAAGGGAGAAAAGAGAAAGGAGGAAAAAAGGGGGAGAAGGGGGAGAAGGAAGGAAAGGGAGGAAGCGAAAAAAATGAGGAAGGAAAGGGAAGAGAGAGGTGAAAAGAGAGGGAAAAGAGGTGGTGGTGGTGGGTAGTGGTGGGTAATTGTGGTAGGAAATTACAAATTTTTAAAAAAATATCTCAATTAAATTTTAAGTTTTATAAACATCCCAAAATACATCTCCAAAAATGATAGAGCCGTTATTTGGCACGTTTTGCACTGTCATCTTGTCCTAATTTTGGCTATTCATGGCGCTAAGAAAGGGGATTTCACTTATATTTGACATTTGTGTAAATTGTAGGTGGTTAGCATTAAAAAGATATCACGGGGAAAATTTCCAGAAGACTTTTTATTTCAGAGCGTGGCCACGCCTTAGAAGGAGAACGAAACCGAAAGCCGGACCGTGGTCCACGTGAACCCGAAGCATTGGATTAAAACTTCAAAGGGAATAGCTTCTATTAGCTGAAATTGCTCCAGACGTCTCTGCTTTTGGACTTGAATTGCGGCGGCTATATAAAGAGGACGAAGCAAGATTGGAAAGGAATCAACTTTTTAGCCTTAGCCTTTGAATTCTCTCTTTCTGCTTTTTTGTGAGAGACGCTTTCTCCTGTTCTTTTTCTTTTACTTTTGTTCGCCTGCGGCTAGCGGCCAGGCATTGAATATTCTGGCGGATTGCATCTGGGCTCCGTAGAACGGAGACCCTTTTTACTTTTTGCCTTTGACTCTTCAAAATTTCACGAGATTACTCTTGTGCTTTTCCAATTCTTCGGCAATCAATTGAATGTATTCAATTAATTTACGCGGGATTAACACGATGAGGAGCGGCTAATTTCCTCCTCTACCCAAAGGGTGACGCAAGGGCGCGGTCCATAATATCTGTGAGATCTAATCGAATCTTTATTATTTCTTTCAATTTATTGCTATTCGTGTGTTTCCTGAATTAATTGTTCATGGGTATTTTATTAATTGAATATCAACGGCCGGGTATTTGATTTAATTTAATAGCCTACTGCCACGTTAATTAAATAGAATCCGTAATTGTTCATTTAGTTGACACCTCGTGGCAACCACCATAATTGGCTTTATGATGGGGGAATGCAAGATCTAATTTAAATAAACCCTCTTAGCGTGTTTATTGGTTAGGGTTGGGTTCTTCTAGCTTTAATGCAATTGGATAATTAAATTCCTATGGTCGTACTTAGGGTTGTTATCTGGTTAGGGAAGCAGTCAATGGTCGTACCTTGACTGTCGAAAAGGTAAGGAAGAACTGGTTGTCAGAGCTTATTGATAACAATAACCAACCTAGTGACGAATAGGTGAAATATCTTTGTATCGATGAGCATTTATTTGGACCGTGCCTGAACAGTTAATCCTTTGGGTAGAACTTTTGTTAATTGCTATTTTTAGTGAATTGTGCCTTGTGAGTTAGTTTTGAAGTGAGTTCGCTTTATTTTTATTTTACTTTTATTTTATTTATTTCTCTCCCATTGAAAATCCCCCAAATTTTGTTCTACTGAGTTGGAAAGAAATAATTTCCTACCTGCTCCCTGTGGAATCGACCCTACTTGCCATTGTATGCAAAATTAATATTTTTATAGACAAATCCGGTATATCGGATCAAGCAAACTTTTCGGGAACAGGGTGAATCGAGTAACCCATTGCACACCTAGAGTCCCTGCTCCAGTACTTGGATTCGTTTTATAATTATTTAATTGAGGTGGTAATTAGGACTTTTTAGTATTTATTATTGCACAGGTTCGGCACCTGTCAACTTTTTGCGCCGTTGCCTGGATTATTTGTTTCTTTTCAAATTCAGTTTTTGTTTTATTTTTATTTTTCTTGGTATTTTTGTTAGTTTATGCCCCGTTCTTCTCGCACAGGTGAATTGATATACAACGCGGAGATTGAGAAGGCAGCGCGTAAGCTGAGGCAAGAGACTAAGAGACGAAAAGAAGGGCATTTATTTATCGCAAACGAGTCAGTAGAAGACGAAGTAAGTATGGCCAACACCCAAACATTAAGGGAGCTGGCTGCCCCGGAACCGACTCACCAGCCCTTGTGCATCACATTCCCCACTTTGGCTGAGAATACGGCTTTTGAATTGAAGTCGGGGTTGATTCACCTTCTACCTTCTTTCCATGGTCTCTCTGGCAAAGAACCCCACAAACATGTCAAGAAATTCGAGATAGTTTGCTCCAGCATGAAACCTCCTGGGGTCACTGAGGAGCAGATAAGACTTAAAGCTTTCCCCTTCTCTCTCAAGGATGCAGCAAAAGATTGGCTATACTACCTACCAGCGGGTAGTATTACCACATGGGCACAGTTAAAAAAGAAATTCTTGGAAAAATTCTTCCCTGCATCCCGAGCTGCGAGTTTGAGGAAGGAGATCTGCGGCATTAAACAATATCCCGGTGAGTCCTTGTATGAATACTGGGAAAGGTTTAATAAGTTGTGCACTAGATGCCCGCAGCATCAAATTAGTGAGCAACTGTTAATCCAATACTTCTATGAGGGGGCTCCAATCAACAGACAGGAGTATCATTGACGCTGCCAGTGGGGGAGCACTTGCAAACAAGACACCGAGGGAAGCGTGGGAGGTCATCGAAGCCATGGCAGAAAACTCCCAGCAATTTGGCTTCCGTGAGAGCAACCCTCCCCGTAGAGTCAACGAGGTAGAGACTTCATCCTTACAGCAGCAACTGTCAGAATTGACATCGATTGTTAGGCAATTAGCCATGAGGGACGCGCCGCGAGCGAAAGTATGTGGAATCTGCACTAGCATGGACCATTGCACAGACTCGTGCCCCATTTTGCAAGAGGACGGGGCAGAACAGGTGAACATGGCCGGAGGCGTGCCCACGCCCCGTAGGCAATACGATCCGTATTCCAACACGTACAATCCAGGTTGGAGAGATCACCCCAATCTCAGCTATGGTAGTAGGCCACAAAATGCATTCTCCAATCGGCCTCTAGGATTTCAGCAACCGTGGCAACATAAGTCTCAACCCTCGTCCTCAAGCTCAGGGAGTTCTTTGGAAGAAATTGTCAAGAGTTTGGCCAACACTACCACTCAACTTGTCACGACCACCACTCAGTTCCAACAGGACACCAAAGTAGGCATGAAAGACATGGAGACTCGCATGAGTCAAATGGCAACTGCTATACATCGCCTGGAATCCCACGCATATGGGAAATTGCCATCACAACCTGAGGCAAATCCCAAAAATGTGAGTGTCATCACATTAAGGAGTGGAAAGGAAGTGGAGGGGCCGAAGGTCACGAACTCAAAGAGTAAAAGTGAAGACGAGATCGAGCAGGAGATAGAGGAAGAATGACACATTCGTGGGGGTCCTGGGGTAAATCTCGCACCATCAATACCTGTTAAAGCTAATTTACCCTCTTTTCCTTGCAGGTTAGCGAAGACGAAAAAGGCAGAGAAGGAGAAAGAGATCCTGGACGTGTTCAAAAAAGTGGACATTAACATCCCTTTACTGGATTCAATAAAGCAGATACCAAAATATGCTAAATTTCTCAAGGATCTGTGCACCCATAAGAGGAAACTAAGAGGGGACGAAAGAGTAGCGGTGGGAGAGAATGTGTCAGCAATGCTCCAAAGGAATCTCCCACCCAAGTGTGGAGATCCAGGTATGTTCACGATCCCCTGTAAGATAGGGAATACACCGATCAGGAAAGCAATGTTAGATTTAGGGGCGTCAATCAATGTGATGCCAAAGACCATTTTTGCTTCCCTAAATCTTGGGCCACTTAAGGAAACAGCCATCATAATCCAACTAGCTGATCGCACAAATGCATATCCAGAGGGGCTAGTTAAGGATGTCTTGGTTCAGGTAAATGAACTGATTTTTCCTGCAGATTTTTATATCTTGGACATGGGAGATGAGAAATCATTAAACCCGTCACCTATCTTATTAGGTAGACCATTTCTTAGCACTGCCAGGACTAAAATAGATGTGAATGAGGGTACTTTGTCAATGGAATTTGATGGTGAAACTGTGAATTTCAATATTTTTGAGGCGATGAAGTATCCAGAAGAATCTAACTCGGTCTTTGCTTTGAGTGTTATTGAGCCTTTTGTGCAGGAAACTTTCGAATTAGAGGGCAAAGATGCATTGGAAGTGGCTCTAATCAAACATCTGGAGTTGGGTGTAACTCTTGATATGGACCTAAGGGAAGATGTACTCCACGCTGTTGAAGCCTTACACTCACTTCCACCCGTATCCCCAAGGTATGAGCTTACTTCTTTTTTTGTGCCAGAGGCTAAAGCAAAGCTGCTTCCTTCAATTGTGCAGGCACTAGAGTTAGAATTAAAGCCTCTGTCAAAGCACCTTAAGTACGCATTCCTAGGAGACCGGGAGACACTGCCGGTAATCATCTCTGCACATTTGTCTCCAAGTCAAGAAGACAAACTAGTGCGGATCCTGAGGGAGTATAAGGAGGCAATTGGGTGAAGTATAGCAGATATCAAGGGAATAAGTCCATCCTTATGTATGCACCGAATTCGGCTCGAGGAAGATGCGAAACCGGTAAGACAGGCTCAAAGAAGATTGAACCCCCTGATGATGGAAGTTGTGAAAAAGGAGATACTCAAACTCCTAGAGGTGGGGATCATTTTTGCCATCTCGGATAGCCCATGGGTGAGTCCTGTCCAGGTAGTCCCGAAAAAGGCAGGAGTGACCGTGGAGGAGAACCAGCAGGGTGATATGGTCCCGGTCAGGAAAGCAACTGGCTGGCGCCAGTGCATCGACTACCGGAAGCTTAATTCTGTAACTAAAAAGGACCATTTCCCCCTCCCCTTTATTGATCAGATGGTAGAAAGATTGGCAGGTCGTGTTTACTATTGTTTCTTGGATGGATTTTCAGGTTACTTTCAGATCGCAATCGCACCAGAAGACTAGGAAAAGACCACCTTCACATGCCCATTTGGCAGGTTTGCCTATCGCCGGATGCCTTTCGGCCTCTGCAATGCTCCAGCGACCTTTCAACGGTGTATGGTAAGTATTTTCTCTGAGTATGTGGAAAAAATAATCGAGGTATTCATGGATGATTTTAGTGTATATGGGGACAGTTTTGATGAATGCCTTGAGAATCTGGCTTTAATTCTGAAAAGATGTATAGAGACGAATTTGGTGCTTAATTGGAAAAAGTGTCACTTTATGGTAGATCATGGCATTGTCTTAGGGCACGTTGTGTCGGCTAAGGGCATAGAGGTAGATAAAGCTAAAATAGACCTTATTTCTGCTCTACCTTATCCCGTATGTGTACGGGGAGTGCGTTCGTTTTTGGGTCATGCATGTTTTTATAGGAGATTTATCAAAGACTTTTCGAAGATCGGAGCACCCCTGTTCAAACTACTACAGAAAGACGTGCCATTTGATTTCACAAGTGAATGTAAGGTGGCGTTTGATAAATTGAAGGAGTCACTGACATCACCGCCTGTCATTCAACCTCCAGATTGGAGCCTTCCGTTTGAAATTATGTGCGACGCGAGTGACTATGCCGTGGGGGCCGTGTTGGGCCAAAGAATGGGAAGAGCACCACACGCGATCTATTATGCGTCGAGAGCCTTAAGTGGAGCCCAACTTAATTACTCCACGACGGAGAAAGAATTACTAGCTGTTGTTTTTGCACTAGAAAAATTTAGGTCATATCTATTGGGTGCAAAAGTAATAGTTTTCTCTGATCATGCAGTCTTGAGGTACTTGCTGGCAAAGAAGGGTGCTAAACCAAGACTGATCATGGATTTTACTCCTGCAGGAGTTCGACCTAGAAATCAAGGATAAGAGTGGAGCTGAGAACTTGGTGGCTGATCATTTGAGCCGGTTGCTCACAAATCAAGAAGATCTACCGTTGAGAGAGTCGTTCCCTGAGGAGCAACTTTTGGCCATTGATTCGTCGATACCTTGGTACGCGGACATTGTCAATTTTTTGGTCACGAATCAATTACCTGCAGGTTGGCCAAAAGCTAAAAGGGATAAGCTAAAGAGTGATGCCAAACATTACCTTTGGGATGACCCGTACCTGTGGAGGCAGTGCTCGGACCAGGTGATAAGAAGGTGTGTAAGTGCAGGTGAGTTTCACTCTATTTTGACTTTCTGTCATTCGTTTGCATGTGGAGGGCATTTTGGTCAAAAGCGGACAGCTCGTAAAGTGTTAGAAAGTGGTTTTTATTGGCCTACTCTGTTTAAGGATGCATATCTGTTTTGCAAATCTTGTGATAAGTGTCAAAAGGTGGGGAATATCTCTCGAAGAGATCAAATGAGTCAAACCCCCATATTATTTGTTGAGATTTTTGATGTCTGGGGTATAGATTTCATGGGTCCCTTCCCCTCGTCTTTTGGTTGCTTGTACATTATACTTGCTGTTGACTATGTTTCTAAATGGGTGGAGGCAAAAGCCACCCGAACTAATGATTCTAGAGTGATTGCAGATTTTATAAGATCTAACATTTTCGTCCGTTTTGAAATGCCGCGAGCCATAGTGAGTGACAGGGGCACCCACTTTTGCAATAAAACGATCACCGCTTTGTTTCGTAAGTATGGTGTGCTCCACAAAGTGTCCACTCCCTACCATCCCCAAACGAATGGTCAGGCCGAAGTATCGAATAGAGAGGTTAAGTCGATCATGGAGAAGATGGTGAGGCCTGATAGAAAGGATTGGAGTGTGAAATTGGAAGACGCTCACTGGGCTTACCGCACTACGTATAAGACGCCAATTGGAATGTCTCCTTACAGGTTAGTCTTTGGGAAGCCGTGCCACTTACCAGTAGAATTTGAACACAAGGCATTCTGGGCGCTCAAGCGGTGCAACATGGATCTCATGGAGGCTGGAGGACACAAGAAGCTCCAGTTACAAGAGTTGGAAGACCTAAGGAATGAAGCCTATGAGAATTCCGCAATTTATAAGGAGAAAAGCAAAGTTTTCCATGATCAACAAGTTTCGAGGAAGTCGTTTGTTGTAGGGCAAAAAGTCCAACTTTATCACTTGAGACTTAAGCTTTTTCCTGGTAAGTTGCGTTCCCGTTGGATTGGTCCATTTGTTGTTACTAATATTTCCCATTATGGTGCAGTAGAAATCCAAAGTCTGAAGACAGAGAAGAAGTTCGTGGTAAATGGTCATCGTTTGAAACCTTTTTATGAAGGGTTTAATAGTGAGCAAGTGGATGTTCTATTCCTTGATAATCCAAGTGGTGAGGTCTAAACAATTGAAGGCCATGTCTAGCCAAAGACGTTAAAGCAAGGCGCTGCTTGGGAGGCAACCCAAGGATTACAATATTAGTTGTGATCATTTTTACTTACTCTGCTATTTTTCAGTTTCATCTTAATGTTTTGACTGTTTTTGTGGTGTTGGACAGAAGACTAGAGGTTTCAAGGCGTGCCCACGCCTTGGGAAGGGTGCGCCAGGTGCCCTGAGCGAATTGGGGACTAGCAGTCTCAAGGCGTGCCCGCGCTTGGACAAAAATTCCCTTGAGTATCATTCGGATACATTGGTCAGAGAACTATATCCTCCAAGGCGTGCCCACGCCTTCCAATCCTTCTTATAGCGAAAAAAAAATCGCTTGAGTATCATTTGGATGCGCTGGGCAGAGAACTGGGTCCTTCAAGGCGTGCCCACGCCTTCCAACCCCTACGATAGCGAAAGTTAAAAAAAAAAAAAAAAAAAACTTTGACCAAGACCATACCTTTTCACTTTTCACTTGTCTTTACTTTTTCTAGTCTTGTCCCTGTTCGTGACTTGAGCAATTGGTCTTCCAATTTCTCTAAAAATCTTGATTTCACTTTCTTCCCTTGCTTGTGAAGCTCGCCGCTGCCGTCCGCCGCCGCCGCCGCTCCAGCCCTCCCGTCGGCCGCAGTTGCCCGCCGCCGTACGCCGCCGCCTGCTCACGCCTGCACCGCTCTACTAGGCCGTCCCGCGCCAAGGCCCAGCCTGCGCGCTGCCGCGCGTGACGACCAGAGCCACAGCCCACCGCCATCGCCGCCGCCTTCCATTGCAATCCGTCGCCGCCGCTCGTGCGACCCACCACGACTCCAGCGTGCGGCCTTCCAGATCTGCACCAGCGCGCGCGTCAGGCCAGACCGTGCGCGAACCCCTTAGCCCAGCGCGCAAGCCCCTACCCAGCAGCAGCAGCCCGCGCGCGCCAGATCGCCGCCCAGCACGCCAGCCTGCGCGCGACGGTTGCCCCACTCAGCGCGCGACCTCAGCCTGCTACAACCAGATCTGCGCGCCTGCAGCGCGCGGCGCTCCTCGCAGCCGCGCGACACCAGTTCTCCCTCTTCGCCATTTTCCTCTCCAGCGTGGACAAAGAGAAACTGGGGTACCCCTATTTGCTTTTCTGATAGAACTGGTGATTTCGATTGGGAATTTTAATTGCTGAATTTTTGCCTCCGGTTGGGTTGCTATAATTGTTGGTATTGTCGGGGGACCAGTTATTTGATTATCTGAAGGGAAAAACCTTATATCTGTTTCCCTGTGATTATATACTTGAGATATCTGTGGGCTCTAGTGAGTTTATTATTTGGAACACGTGGTTGGTAGCCCTCTGATTGTTGCCTTTCATTGACCAATATCTTGATTTGAAGGGAGTTAGTTCGGTTTTCTTTATTGTTGTCGGCTAATTGGCGATAGTGGGGCGTTGGTTGGTGTGTGTTGTCTGGTTGTTGTTTGGTGGGGTAATTGTGTCCCTTTTGTTGCGAAGCTGCTGGAATATTCGATAATTTGTGTTGACTGTGGTCCCATATCTGCTTTTAGTAGTTGGTTGGCTGTCTCTGAGCTGATTTATTATTCCTTTGGTCCCTAAATGCCTCCGAAGAAGGCAACTACTGCTGGGCCGTCTGGGTCCCAACCTCGGAAGAGACGAGCCCCGGTCCAACCCCCCATTCGGTCCCGTTTGGACCTGAATAAGAGTACCATGTCCCCTGGGGAGTGGGGGGAACCGATAACTAATCTTACGGAGGCCCAACAGGACCGGTTTAACACTTTGGTGAATCGACCTGTTGCCCCTTGTAAGTGCTTCCATGCCCCAACCCTGGACCATCTGCGAATTGCTCGGGAGGTTGGGCAGTTGTTATCGGCGATAGGCTGGGAAAGGTATCTGAGCATTAACTACCCCACGTTTGAGGAGCTTTGTTGTGAATTCTACTGCTCTTTTGAGTTTATCAGGAATCAGTACATCACTTTGGATGAGCCGGAGATTATTCGGTTCAGATTAAAAGGCAAACATTTTGATTTTTCAATCAATGAGTTTAATCTGACTTTGGGGTTTGTAAGTGAGGACACCATTGCCTCCGGAGAGTATATTAATAGTACTATTGACTACACCAGACCGTTCAGAACTGAATATATTGACATCTGGAGGGAGTGGTCCACGGATCGGCTAGTATATAATCCGAGTCAGTCCAAAGCCTCTGAACTGAAGGATCCGGTTTTAAAAGTCATCCACAGGTTCTTGGCT